ACTCAAAAGAATTGAGAGGCGAAATCAAAAATTACGTAGATAGCAGAATTACAGAAACACAAAAACAATACCAAGAAGAAATAACTTGTCTTAATAAAAAAATTACTTTACTCGAAACAGAACTTCATACCTTAAAAAATTCCAAAAAAATTGTATTATATGGCCTAATAGAAGGGCGTCACGATAGTGAGAATGACCTTTTCACCCGTGTTTCTCAAATATTTCATGAAATAATGAATATGAATATCAACCCTTATCTGGAAGATATTAAGCGCCTAGGAAAACAGGGAAACCGCCGGCCTTTGTCAATAGAGTTAACCAATAAAAGAATGACAGATTACATTCTAAACAATGCCATTAGGTTTAAAAATACTGGATTGTCCATAGGAAAATTTATGTTTGGCAAATCTCTAGAAGAAAGAAACGAGCTCATCAGAAACATGCAGAATGCAAGGAAAAATGGTGAAAATGCTTATATAAAAAACAATAAACTATACGTAAACGGAAAACCATATTTGAAAACAATTCTACTAGAAACCACAAAACCAAACCCTTCAACCCTTACAAGTACTCATGCAGAATATGATAACTCTTCCAAGACAACACATCATTTGTGTATACAAAAATCACCTCAAGCAGATAACGTAGTAGAGAAAAACAAGTCAAAGGATAATCAAATGAAGTCATTTCGAGAATAAACTAACATTAATGTTTCAAAACATTCAAAGCATTGGTAACAAGATAGATTTACTTGAACAATTACTATTAGAAACAAATATTGATATACAATCATTATCGGAATTATGGAAAAATGAACACTACATTAAGGCCTTAACATTACCAGGATATAATATTGCCTCCTACTTTTGCAGGAAAAGCCGACAAGGGGGCGGTGTTTGCCTAATTGTAAATAATAATTTAGATTACAAACAAAGAAATGATATTGTTAATTACTCTATAGAATATATTGTTGAAATCTGTGCAATAGAAATTCCAAAACTAAAATGTATAATAATAGGAATATATAGGGCCGACCGCCACTCTCACGTTTTCTATGAGAAATTTGATTTACTTTTAAACAAACTTAATAAAAAAGAACCGCACAAATATATTATTATCGCAGGTGATTTTTTAATATAAATATTTTAAACAAAAATAAACTTACAAGGGACTTTTTAAATTTTATGAATTCACATAATCTTAGGCAACTAATCACAGAGCCAACCAGAGTTGTAAAAAGTACCTCTAGTTGCATTGACTTGCTATTTACAAAGTATCCAGCATTTGTAAAAAAATCATATGTATACGACTATGGAATTTCAGCCCACAAAGCAATAAATGTGGAGCTAAATAAAAGTAATACACCAATGAAACAAAATATCACATATTTTAAAGAAAAAAGATTATTTAATTCTGCCGATAAAATAAAGTTTAAAGAGTCATTAAATAAAATTAAATGGAGTGATATAATAAAAGAAAGTCGGGGAATAAACCAAAATTACTCCGAATTTATAACTTGTATTACACAAATATTAAACACAAATATACCTATAAAAAAAATAAAAATAAAAACCTTTAATACTATGAAAACTTGGCTCTCTACAGGAATAAAAAAATCATGTACACATAAACGATTACTTAAAACATTGTTAAATAAAACCAATAATGAAATCCTAAGAGCTCATTTTAAAACTTACAGCAGAATTCTAAAAACGTGTATAAGGATATCAAAAAAATTTGAATATATCAAACAAATGAAAAAATCTGATAATAAAACTAAAACTATGTGGAAAATTATTAACAGTAAAACTGGGAAAAATAAAAAAGTTCAGTACAAAATATAACACTAAAAGTAAAAAACAAAGTGCTATCGTGCCCTCAGACCGTAAGTAATACATTCAATGAATACTTTGCTACTATAGGTAACTGTGATAGTGCCAATAACATAACAAATGGAAGGCCAGTGATAGACTCTCCAACAAATCCAAAGGAAATTATACAAATAATAAAAAACTTAAAAAACAAACATAGATAGTTGTGGTATCGATGACATACCTGGCATCCTAGTAAAACAATGCGCGGACATGCTAGCCCCCCCCGCCCCCCTAGCCTCACTTATAAACCAAATGTTTTGAGTATTGTCTTTTCCCAGATATGTTAAAAATCTCCCTAATTAAACCAATATTTAAAAAAAGTGATCCACATCTACTTATTAATTATCGACCCATAGCTTTGCTTCCAACATTTGCAAAAGTATTTGAAAAGGCCATGTATAATAGACTGTACCACTTCTTGGAGAAATGCAAAGTTTTTGATGAATCTCAAAATGGCTTTAGAAAAAACAGATCTACAACCCATGCTGTATATAAATACATACAAACAGCACTTCAAAACATAAATAATGGGAAGTATACCTTAGGTCTCCTATTAGATATGACAAAAGCATACGAAAAAGTCAAATATAACATATTACTAGCTAAACTTCATGATACAGGAATTCGCGGTCCGGCATATAAATGGTTTCAGTCATACCTCTCAGACAGAAAACAATTAGTCCAAATTGAACATAAAAATAACGAAAAGAATGAAATTATTTCCGTGCGATCCCAGATTCAACAACTTACATGCTCTATTCCCCAGGGTTCGGTCTTAGGGTGTTTGTTATTTTTGATCTACATTAACGACCTACCAAAAGTAATAAATAATGAGAATACCTTGACTATTGTGTTCGCTGACGATGTATCGGTTTTAATAAAAGGCGAAAATAATACCGACTATAACTCTGTTACATACAACACTTTACAAACTATTACTAATTGGCTTGGAGACCATAACCTAGAGATAAATTATGAGAAAACTAAAATTATGCAATTTAAAACATATAAAAGTCCATCATTAAATGTCAGTATAAATTTTAATGGTACAAAGTTGGAAAAAGTAGATTCATTTAATTTGCTTGGTTTAAATATCGATTCAAATATAAATTGGAAAACACATATTGATTATTTAAAAAGTAAATTATGGAAATTCACCTATGCTCTCTTCCAAATTAAATGCTCTACAAATACTTCCACCGCGTTATCAGCTTATTATGCCTACGCCCACTCATGGCTTATGTATGGCGTAATGTTATGGGGCAACAGTGTTGACGCTCAGGACCTATTTATCATCCAAAAACAGTGCATAAGGATACTTGCACACATAGATAACAATTCTAGCTTATTTCACAAAACTTAAAATATTAACTTTACCATGCTTATACATAAAAGATTTGTGTCTTTTTGTATTCAAAAATAGTCATTTCTTTAAAAAAATCAAAGATACTCATAACATTAACACACGTTATAAAAATAAATTATATTTACCACATTCTCGATTAAAAATGTTAAACAATAGCCCATACTACATGGCAATTAAAATACATAATAAACTACCAGATGAAATAAAGAATATAACATACATCCAAACTGAAATGTTATTTAGAACAAAACCCGTTTTATTCAGTAAAAGAAAATATTAATAAATGTTTATATGTTGACTAGCATTTTACCTAAAATCTATTTGTGCCCCCCTATGGTGACACACACACACGCACGCACGCACACACGCACGCACGCACGCACACACGCACGCACGCACGCACACACGCACGCACGCACGCACGCACGCACGCACGCACGCACGCACGCACACACACACACACACACACACACACACACACAACAAACATACATGCACGAACGAATTGCTTTTGATCGTTTTGTATAATTTAGTTTTAATTTGAATTAGCTGATTTTTTTTAATATTTTTAAATCTAACCATATTGTTTGTTTCGAAAAATTTTTCTTTCTTTTTATTATATTCATTATGTGTTCATTTTATATATTCATTAACTTAATTAAATGAGCAGTGTCCATTAAAAAATTTGCAGTGCCTGGAAAAGGCATCTAAGTTTCTGTATAAATCTAACACCTATTTATATAATGTAAACTTAGATGGCAAATAAATAATTGAATTGAATTGAATTGAATTGAAAACAACGCCTTGGGAGACTGTATAAAGATGATGCAATACTTTGAATATACGCTGTCGATCAGTAAACGTCTTTTATTTAACAGTGGCGACGAGGTAAATTATAACACTCGGTTATTCTGTGGTCGTGTAGAGAAATATTGTGGTGCATAAGAAATATATTAGGCGCACTTTAAACATTAATATTCTTAAAGTGGTAATAAAGAGTTAACATGTCGGTTGGAAAAAAGCGTGAATTTGACATAAAAAATGGAAATTGGTCTGCTTACGTCTACCGTTTAGAAATGTATTTTGTGGCCAACAAAATAACGGAAGACTTAAAACTGCCGACTTTAATAGCAATAATCGGACAAGACGCTTATGAATTATTGTCTACTTTAGCTAGCCCGAGGAAACCATCAAGCTTGTCGTATGAAGAAGCAGTGATATTTTTACAAATTCACTTACAACCTAAACCATCAATACTAGCAGAAAGATATAGGCAAAGACGGCAGCTACCAGCGGAAAAATTAGCTGATTACGTGGCCGATTTTAAAAAAAATGAAGACATTGTGAATTTAAGGACAACCTGGAGGAAAATCTCAGAGACCAGTTTGTTACGGAGTGAACTCATACGTCAAAGATTATTTGCGGAAGATAAACTGCATTACAATAAAGCGCTACAATTGGCAAATACGTTGGAGGCAGCCGAGCGGGACGCCGGAGCCTTTGAAGGAACGGGGGACCAAGGGTACGACCGAGAACTTTCCGAGAAATTACAGAAATTAGAAATCAGTAAATGTTCAGCATGCGGAGACAGTGGTCATGGAACATACAACTGCCGGTATAAGGAATTCCGGTGTAGCTACTGCGGAAGGGTGGGCCACCTGCGGAGAGTATGCGTAAAAAAATTTACTGCTCAGCGCATCAAAACAAGGGCTGTCACACAAGTCGTCAATCGCGGTCGCGATGCATCATACAAGTGACGTATGACAGACTTATGTAGTGACAGTTGCAGCGGCAGCAGCGAGCGTGGTGGCCACGGCGGCGGCGGAGAGCGGGGCGGTCACAGCACGCGCCCGCCGGCGCGGCGCACTGGCTGCGCTAACCCGAAACGTCGGTTGCGGCCGACAGCTCCGTAGGGGCGCAGGACGTGGGCGATGACAGCGAGGAATCGAATGTAAACAACACGTTATTAGATATGGAATTTTTTTATTTCATTTTTTTTTTTTACTAAAAGACAATCTTTATTGATCTAATATTTACAAAGATTAAATCTATCTAAAATTACATATTATATAATAAACCTAATCCACGCGGCATGGTGCCAAGAACGCTAACTGCATTTCCTCGCTGAATAGTTATGCTTAACCTTTGAGCGAGAAAAGAACCAGCTCTCTTGTCACCAGCCGCGGCGTTAAGCCTAGGACATAAACTTTTAAAAAAAATTGATGTGCGGGGACCCCACGGACCTAACTGGTGCTGCTTAAATGAACGCTCTAGGAAATACACAGTTATAAATACACATCGAGGTTTTTTTAAATACAATCGCCTTGTGTACGGATTATCTTCTATCCCTGGAATTTTTCAAAAGTTTATGACTTATCTGTTTAAAATGTTTGGGACGTAGTAGTGTTCTACGACGATATTTTAATAAAAAGTCAGTCGTTGGACGAACATTTAAAATGTGTAGAACAAGTTTTTTTATATTTTGGAGAAAAACGGATTAAAAATTAAAAAGGAGAAGTGCGAGTTTATGGCGGATGAAGTAAAGTATTTAGGGTTTATTATAGACAAAAAGGGGGTAAGGGTCAACCCAGAAAAGATAAAACCGATTATATCTATGCTTCATCCAACCAACGTCTCGGAGCTAAAATCATTTTTAGGTATGGTCAATTTTTACGGTAAGTTTATTAAAAATTTAAGCACACATATAACTCCACTGTATGAATTACTAAAAAAGGGAAAAAATTGGGAATGGACTAGTAAACATACCGAGTGTCTTCCAACAGATTAAAAAACGTTTGTGTAGCACTGAAGTCCTGACCCACTTCAATATGTCATTAGAAAGTATTTTAACGTGCGAGGCATGCGCACGCGGCATCTTGCGGCTTATGCGTCGCGAGCGCTCACACCGGCGGTATCTCATTATAGCCAGATACATAAAGAGGCACTATTATTTTTGCGGTAGATAAATTCCATCAATATTTGTATGGTAGAATGTTTAAGCTGCGTACAGATCATAAGCCATTAGTTACAATTTTTGGTTCCGAGGCAGGTATACCTACGACGGCCGCGAGCCGTTTACAACGGTGGGCGATTAAGTTGTCAGCCTATGATTTCGAGATAGAATATGTTCGTACAGACAAAAACTCGGCAGATGTTTTGTCTAGGCTAATTAGTAGGCATAAAGAAAGTTTAGTTAAAGAGGAAATAAGTACACCGGAACAAACATATTTGCATTTTGCAGTTGATTCGCTTTTATTAGATGATAATATTCTAAAGAAGGAGACCGCTTCAGATCCTTTATTGAGCAGTAATCCGATACATCAACGACGGTTGGCCGGAAGAAGTAGAAATAAAAGAATTAACACCGTATTTCCATCGAAGGAATGAATTATATGTATACTGAATTAGGTTGTATATTATGGGGGCCACCGGGCAGTTGTTCCGAAGTCATGCAGGGATAAAATAATTACAGAGCTCCGTGAAAGTCATATGGGTGTAGTGAAAACGAAGTCGTTAGCGCGGAGCTATGTGGTGGCCGCGGTGGCAGAGGCGCCGCCCGCACACGCGCCGCGACCTTGGCCATGGCCTGACCGCCCCTGGTCCAGGCTCCATGACACCTTATTGTGGTCGATGCACATTCTAAGTGGATAGAGGCTATCAAAATGAATAGTACTTCGGCGCAGGCAGTAATAAAGGAGTTACGTGAAATGTGGGCAAGGCTCGGCTTACCAAAACAGTTAGTTAGCGATAATGGTCCCCCGTTTTCCAGTTCAGAATTCAAACAGTTTCTGGTTAATAATGGCGTCGAACACGTTTTCTCTGCTCCATACCACCCCGCCTCCAATGGAGCCGCTGAAATTTTGTAAAAGGACAATTAAAAAGGCTTTGAAGTCAAAAACAGACGTACACGCCGCATTGTGCCGATTCTTATTAGCTTATCGAAATACACAACATAACACAACAGCGGAGAGCCCGGCTAAAATGCTATTAGGGCGCAACGTGTGTATGCGTTTAGACTGTCTAAAACCAGACCATAGGGACAGAGTAAGTGCACAACAAAGGCGAATGGAGGCGACAACCAGAGGTGCGATTAGGGAGTTTATTATAAAGTGAAATCTATTAATGGAATCGAGGTACATAGGCATATTGATCAATTAAAGTGTAGAATGTTAAGCGACGTTGGTGAAAATGCAGGCTCAACACGTAGCTTTCTGAATGACAATGATAGCAGATCAGTGCAGACTAGATGGCCCCGCCCTTCGCTAGTGTTCCCAACTAGCCCCTCTCAAATCTCGGACGATATGAGGGCATAGTAAGTGCCGACGTGTCATTACCTAAATCACCAATTACCGATAGAGTGACCACGCAAAAAGAAGTTGTGGACACCTCGTGTCAGGCCACTCCGGCGATGCCCAATGTGCAAGAGGCAAGCAATCATGTCCCTGATGCATACAGCAATGGCAGTGAACATATAAGTAAAGAAAAACGTAGATGCAAACCTGTCAAAAGATATGGAATAGATGACGTTTATTAATAAGATATTATTTATTATAGTATAGCTTAAGCAATATCTGTACTCAACTGAATTCATATAAATAAATTTAAAATAGGTTTAGTCATGTATAAAAACTATGTGGCTATGTATTGTTTTTTGGAAATCAATTAAGGGTGGAGGTGTTACGTATTTGTAAGTTATGTTAGAGGGTAAGTTGAAAACAACGCCCTGGGCGACTGTATAAAGATGATGCAATACTTTGAATATACGCTGTCGATCAGTAAACGTCTTTTATTTAACAAAATCCTTTGTAGAAAAATGGCACAGTCATTTTGTGCTATTGTATCAACTTTTGATCATAATGTTTGGAAGACGTACAAAGGTCGTATTACGCAGTGGTTCATCGCAAATAACATCGATGGGAAAATTGATGCGGCGGGTACTAGGAGGCGAGCCATACTATACAGCGTGCAGCCATACTACAAGTTGGCAGCAGACTTAGCTCTGCCCAAACACGTACAAGAGATGCTATATGAGAATATAGTGGGATTATTGGATAACCAATTTACTCCAAAACGAAGAGTAGCTGCGGAAAGTGTCGCAGCTTTCCACATCAATCAGAAGATCATGTTCAGCAAAAGAGAAAATGTGCAATGCTTGTGGAAAGATCGGACATTACCGACAGTATTGCAAAACAAAGAACACCGAAAGATAATACAAAATATAGAAGAAACAATTTACAAAACATAAAAGAATAAGAAAGGAATGTTGATGTGGACTACGGTTTTAATGTTGATGATTATGCAACAATTGAATGTAGTCTAGGCGGTACAAACAAGACTTAGAAATCAAATATCTGAACGTAATAAAACCTTGTAAGACTGACAAGAAGACTAAGAAGACACTCGACATCAAAGGATCTTTTATAACCACAATTGCCATAAAAGACCGAAAATATGAAGCTACCGTTCATGTTATTTCAGTAGGTACTCGAGATCTGATGAGAGTCTGAGGTTACGCGCTTAGGGTTTTGTAAAATTGGCTTCAAAGTTAACAAGGTTGATAATAATAAACGAGAGCAGCTATTTCCAAATCTCAATAACGTCCTAATACAAATCTCCACTTTTAAATAACAACAATTTCCTTAAGATGGCAGCAAGAAGAAAATTACACCTATCTTATTTACATATATTATTAATAAAGTGTATTTAGATTATATTGAATCAAATTAATTTTACTCAATACATTTTTTGCAGGTAAATTATGTTGTAGACCAGTAATAAGAAGAATGTTTGATAATGATAAAATAATAAAATATTGTTTTACAAAAACTGTTTTAACTAATAATATTAGAAACAGTTTGGTACATCTTAGACCATTTGGATTGGTTTATTTAACTTTATTTATTTGTAGATGCAGAAATATGTATTATATTTATTTTTTTAAATTCTGTTTACATATAGTAGCTATTGATTGTTAAAATAATATAATATGATAGTTACTGAGACATTTATATTTATGGTTACCTTGATTAGGTTTTAAGCTAAATCTAGAACCACATTCAAAGCATGCATTGTAAAAAGAAGTAACTTGAAAATGTTGTACTTGAGCATTCAGAAAACCGTTTAAGCTACTGTTCTAATTTACAAACACTTATTTTCAAATTATGTCAAATGATCATGTTTGCTTTGCTTGTTAGTTGCGCACTAAAAGAGAAGTTAAACGTTTAAAACGTTTAGATTATGTCAGAGCCCAACCTGAGGTTACAAATTGGCTCAACCAAATCGTGCGATTTAATAAAAAATATTATACCCAGGCAAGCGGGAGTTTTAGAATATTATTGTAGTTGCCCGGTACCCTACAGGGCGCCCCTGTAGGCTACATATGATAATATTGTAGACGGTAAGTAGTTACATACCATGACAATTGTTTGGTATAAGGTATGTGCCGGACAACAGACAAATATATCTGCCCCAACGGAATTTTTAAAAGATAAATAAAAAATAATGTAAACAAAGCTATTTTATTCACCTATTAGCCTTCTGGAAAATTAAGATTGGCAGACTTTTTATCTTGGCTACTGTCTACTTGTAATATTACATTCACATTAATGAACGTTTTATTAACATACATACCTACATCAGTTACTAAAGATAGACAAAGCCTTCATTTTGAATCTTCTAGTAACATAAGCAAGGTAGACAAGCTACCTTTAGTAACTGAAATAACAGATAAGTAATTGAAAATGTAAGTCTCCAATCTACCATTTTGGGTTGATATGGATGTAATAAAAATGTGTCCTACTTTCACAAAACTTACACTGCCCAAAGACTAACGTAACCCAACCCCACGATCATAACAATTTTTAAACGCCGCGCAGTATAATCTCAAAATAATAATTGAAAATGTAACATCTTTATTGTTAGATTCTCCAATTAACATTCTTAATACAAAGTTGCTTAACAGCCAGTAATGAACAGTTTAAGATATTTTTTACATATGTTTGACCCGTAAACGCTAAACTTTTATCGCAAATAAATCAAATAATCATGTTTGGGAACCTGCCACTGTCCTTTATTTATTTATTTGTTTTGTCTTCATTCTTTTAACCAGATTTAGTGTTGAAGGGCCCGTTTCCATTGCCTTCGTGAGTAAAAATAATGAAATCATCTCGGTTCCCATTCCATGTTTGCTATTTCAACCTCCCGGATGTATTGCGAAATTTCTAATTCTTCTGAAAGACTTGGAACGTTTTGATTGGATTGATGAATAATTTACAATTAATTCATGGGCAGTTGCTATGGTTCCATTAATATTTATAGTATTGTTATTAATTTCCTCATTAACAAAAGTTATTATGCCATGGTTTAAATGTTGCCAGCAATTACATCAACTGTCATATCATCATTACTCATAGCACCTGTATGTTTAAGATGAATGTTTAAAAAATATTTATTTATGTGAACCGTTTCACCAGGGTTACCAAGGTTACTATAAACATTTCCCCCAATGTATTGGCAATGTTGTTGGCTGTTGTCCAATTGGCATCATCATCATCATTTCAGCCTGTTTGAGTCCACTGTTGCACATAGGCCTCAACCATAGACTGACACGAAGCACCATCCTGAGTCACCAATTGGGGGGTGGGGGGGTCGTCCCACACTGTGAAGGCCAGTGCGAGGCCGCCACTCGAGAACTTTCCTCCCCAACGGTTATTGGTTCGAAAATCGGTACCATTTCCACCAATATCTCCTTCTCACGGGTATGGATTCACGCTGTTATGTTGTTGATAAAGAACTTCCAGTTTATTTTGATATTCTTCAAAGTATGTCATACTCTTATTCAGGAAGTCATTTAAATCTTTCGTGTCCAGGTCAAAATTCGGTTTGTATTTTATAGTACAGCGCCTTGTAAAGGGGACGTTTATAGCCGGCGTTTGAGCATATTTGTGATTTTTTGGCTTATCTGTTTGAGAAACTCGGTCAACGGTAAGTTTGTTATTCATGTCCACATTTTCGGATTCGCTGGGAATTTCGTCAAATACGTCTTTAAACGAAAACTGTTTAGTTGAATTTATATCAGGGATTATGGCTTCGTTTATATTTTCCGGATTTTTACTAAACAAAACGGATAAGAAGTCTTTAAAAACGCTAGTAACAAGCGCTTTGTTTCTTTCACTTTGATTGATAATTTTTTTCATATTAGAATTACTTCCTACATTGGCATTGTTCACATATTGATCATTGAACACTTATGTTTCAGATGTCTCATTAGCCTCATTAATGTTACTTTCTGTTCCTTTATTATCATTTTTTTTTATTAATATCACTGAATGAAGTTTCTAATTCATCTTGATTTGTTTTGTCTTCATTCGTTTGACCTGATTTAGAGTTGAAGGGCCCGTTCCATTGCCTTCGTGTGTAAAAATGATGAAATCATCTCGGTTCCCCTCCATGTTTGCTGTTTCACCTAAAAAAAAAGAGAGAAATTTCTTAATCTTCTGAAAGACTTAGAATGTCTTGATTGGATTGATGAATAATTACAATTAATTCATAAGCAGTTTCTTCGGTTCCATTAATTTATAGTATTGTTATTAATTTCCTGATTCACAATAGTTATAGTGCCACGGTTTAAATGTTGTCAGCAAATACATTGAACTGTATCATCATTACTCATAAGACTTGTATGTTTAAGATAAAGTTTTCATTTAAAATATTCTATGGTCAGTCAATAAACCAAAAGTATTTATTTATGTGACCTTGAGATTTACGACCGGTTTCTGAAACACTGATCATCGTAGATGTCAACTAATTAGCCGTCAAATGGCTTTTAAAATATCATTTTAGTCGCCAAAAGGACGGTTAAAGTCTCTGAATTGACCAGAATGATCTTCTAATGATCAGAACGATCAATCCAAAGAGTTTAACCATCCTTTTGGCAACTAAAATGAAATTTGAAAACCATTTGACAGCTGATTAGTTGACATCTACGATGATCAGTGTTTCAGAAACCGGCCGTTATTATTTAATTAAAAGCTGAAATAAATACTAAGGTAGAATTTTAAAATATGTTAACTTACAGCACGAAATATATTTTTCACATAAAATTATTATTCATATTTTTTTTCATTGCAATGAAATCATCCCCTACGAATAGAACAAAATCCATACAAATGTATTACATAATGCTTCATGTTGCAATGATAGTTTATTGGTGACCATAAATTGAAAATTCTGATAACATCTTTCCTCCAATCCAAAACCAAAGTTTTGTTTCCCCCAATGCCTCTAAAACTATTGTCGTCTCAAACATATATTATATAAAAAATTTTACACCTAAAGACTAATCTTTTTAAACACAATTTACACTCCTGTCCACAATTTAAACATTTAAAATTTGATGAAAACACTCCATGAATAGTCACGTATAGACAAAGAATTTAAAAGAACGAAAGGATCTGTTTTTGATTTAATTTTTGACGACTCGAATGGCGTAGTGGGTACTGTTCATGCCTCCTGCGCCAGAGGGTGTGAGTTCGATCCCCACGGCTGGAAAAATATTGTGTGATGAACATATTGTTATCCTAGTGTCTGGGTGTTTATATATGTATAATACGCAGGTATTTATTTACAAAACAAAAGTATGTTTATCAGTTTTTTAGTATCCATAGTCCAAGTGTTGCTTAGTTTGGGAATAAAAAATATTGTGTAAAAATATGTCTAAAAAGATTTTCATTTAAACATTAAACATTTGAATTATACTACAACAGTAGAAATATCGCTATGAGAACAACCTGTATTATCCTCCTTTGCAAACAACTAATCATTAATATAAAGGATAATTTTTAGACGATGTACTTTGCCATAATGTAAATTGAGCATTCCCATGATTGAACAAAAATATTAATATTTTATTTTGACAAGTAATAACTAGAAAAATATCAATTCAAACATTGTTTGCTTATCGCGTTAAGAGTGGTCACCCTTTTGATTAGCGATTTAGTAATTACGCGTTCAGCGAAAAGATTTAGTGCTCGTCAATAGGTGATTATATTGAAACAGTAACACCCAGTTTCCGAAAGCGCAATCAATTTTAATTTACGATAAATCTCTTGTCAATCGTTGTTTAACATGATCTGAGTTGCTAGAACGTCTGAAAACAACATTGATTTTGATTTGCAATTAGTCACTGATTAACGGACATTCAACAGAAAATCGAGTTTCTGAAAGCGTTTTTCGGTAGTCAACGAGCTGTCAAAAGTTTTATTAAGTAATCTGTCAATTTGGACGATCAATCGTTGGTTAAAAATGTATTTTATCAAAAATCTTAATTTTTATTAAAAATAAACATAATTCCCTAATACGTTGTAAGGACTATTATTCTATGTTCTATTACCTATTTATTATTATGCGAACATATCATGAGATTAGAAAAGATACAAAATGAAAAAAAAAAATTCAAAAGTTAATAAATAATATGGATTCTTTATTTTTATAATACTTACTTGTTTATTATGGATAAAAGTTCATTTTTTTCACGTTCTTTAAAGTTTTTGATTGACATTTTGCATGTATTTATATAAATTAAACTTTATTCTAGCTCGGATTTTTACGTTGGCAATCTCACGGTGACAGGACTGGATAGTGACGTTAATTTAAGTTTTGTTTAAAAAGGGACAGCTATACAATAGAAAGTTAGTTGAAGTAAATCATTCATTTCATTCATTATTATTGGTTATACAGTGATTAGCTAATTTTTCTTGAACAAACCTTCCAGAAACCCAAGGCAGTTTAACAAGAGATTAACAGCTGATCATTTTTGACATAGTGTTATGTGATTGCTGCTTTGATTGGCCTTTCGGAAACTGGTCATAAGGCAGGAAAATCTTAAGGTGTCCATAATATTTGAAAAATTAAAATTAATCTATGAAAAAATGAGGTCACAAGTATTAATATATAATAGTCAATATTAGTATATAATATGTATTATATGTATGTAGTAAGTATTAGTATACATATATTAGTTGAGGATTTAGAATCAAATTCTGCATATGCTCTGTTAATATGTCGGTCGTCTATAAAATCATCCTGTATAATTTAAACAGGGAAGAAGAAAATATTTTTTTTTAACTATTATATATGATCTTTAAAGCAATGAAAACATGCTGTTATCGATTTTAAAGTTATTTAAAAAAGATTTAAATTTAGTTATGCTTTTTACACAGATTAGCTTACTTTTTACGTTTAAGTTTACTTCAAATTAATTGGTTGGGTTAGTTAGGTATACATTTTTACATACATATAGATAGGACGGTTTAACGGTTTAACGGTGGTAGAACCACGCAGCAGCCTCGGCTGTTGCACGAATGGGCAGGCTCGTCTGGGTAAGTACCACGACCTCACAGAAGACCGGCGTAAAGTGAAAGTATGACAAATACTTTCGCGTTTCGTCTGGTGAGTGAGGTAGCCGGAGCCCAATTTCCAAAAAGGTTGTCAACGCATCTGCAAACCCTCGGGTGTAGCAGATGTCTATGGGCGGCGGTATTCACTTAACATCAGGTGAACCGTTTGCTCGTTTGGCAACTTTTCACATAAAAAAAAAAAAAAGGAGCACTACAAAGCGGGGCGACTTCTTTCTTTTAAATATTTCAGTCTCCCTTTTCTTTATGCTATATACAGCTACATATTTTTTTGATTTTGCATGCGAAATAGTGTTTCTGTGTTTAATTTCACTCATAGTTGTAATTAAATTATGTGACAGAATAGAAATATCTTTCTCAATGTGTCCGCCAATAGGGCTCTAACCCACAACCAATAGTAGAGTAGGTTTTACTACCAACACGCCAATCGGGTCGTCAGTTCGAAATGAATTGTTCTTTGTGGCAGTATACAATAAATGTTCGTCCTCACTCAATTTGTCCCCCTTGTCGTAGAATGGAAAAAACGGCTTCGGCGTCGGGGGTCGTGGGTTCGATTCCCACACGGGACAACTATTTGTGTGACCCACAGTTAGTTGTTTCGCATCTGGGTGTTTGTCCGTGTGAAATTTATGTTTGTAAAACGTCCTTACAACACAGGATAATGTTATCCTGAAGTAAGGGCAATGTTTATATAAAAAAAAAAAATAGTCCTAAATGTGTCCGTACGGCCTCACCCCTGGTCGAGCATCTCGGCGCCCGTGTATCCTGACGGCACTGAACTTGCTACCCATTCACCGCCAGGCCGAAGTCCAGGATGCAGCACTGCGTTGGCCTTCACCGGGATGTTCTTGCTCTTCATGTCCCGGTGGCCGATGGCCATCCAGCGCTGCGCCTATAGTTACATTTACACTTCACCTTTATCTCTTTTTCCCGCGCATGCATTTATCTTTTACACATTGAATATTTCTTTATGATGTGAGAATGATGCTCACCCGACGTTGGGTGACAACCACCTCCGTATGTTTATCAGTAACCTATGTCACCTAGGTAACTGATAAACATACTTAAACATACTTTTCTATGGGAAATAAATATATAAATGATAGATGCATAAACACCCGGACACTAGAGAAACACAATGTTCAGGACACAATATCTTTCCAGTAGTGGAGATTCAACCAAAGGATATTGTGTAATTACTTAAATTTAGACAATTGGTAAATATTACGCACCCCAAGAAAGTTTGATATTTAATGTTTTTTCAAAGATTATATATTTTACTAAATTTAATTTAAATAAACCTTATTACTATGAGGCCTCATTTTACAACTTATTTTGAAGTACCTCATTATATAAATATTTACTTGGTGTGTGCAATAAAGAATAATAATTATCATTTATAAATTTAAACAAACAAAGAGGTATGTGCTGAGCAGTTGAGTCTAATGACTGGTCACAAAATTTTATCTCCAGATAGATTTTGTTACCAGCGATAGCTTTGACATTAGCTCCATAATACTATGTCAAAGACCTATCTCCAGTGACCAAATCTATCTGTAGATTGAATATTGAAACCGGCTATAAGTTGGCTGCTAAATGTGACCGAGTAATCACAAATTTCTGACACCCTCCTGTGTGCCATATATGTCGGTGTGCAGATACAGGATACCTATAACAGTCGACAGATGACCATCATCTGGTGCCTGATGAGGGTTGCCCATTTGAGATGCTCGTACAAAAACCTCAGTGGGTGGAAGTGTGTGATAAGCCACAGCTGCGGAGCATTATTGTAAAGTGTTAAGAATTTACCAAACCATCAATTTTATACCTATAACAAGTCAACTGTGGTGGGATCTCCGCTGTTGCGTAAGTACTGCGAGCGCACGGTTGACCGGCGTAAAGAAGACGAAACTCAGAGTTGTAATATCTTCAGATATATCTTCAGATATTACAACTCCCGAGTTTCGTCTGCTGAGTTAGGATAATCAGAGTCCACTATTAAAGGTGGCGACTGACAACACATGTGCAATCTGCAACCCTACAGGTGTTGCAAATATCATTGGGCGGTGGTTATCAATCAACATCAGGTGAAGCGCCGGCTCGCTTGCGACCACTCACATAAAAAAATGTATTAAAGTAAATGAAACTATTTACCGAATTTTATCGCGTTTGTTCCATGGTCTTTGAAGAGAGAAGATATCTCTCTCAAGACAAAGCGTAATGGTAGCATTTATCAATTAAAAAAAAAATTATTTCTTATATGTAAAGTTTATCAATCCGCGGTTTGTTGAAACTTTGCCTTAATATTCGCTCTCCAGGTTATGGCTTCGCCGAAAACTAGGGCATATAACCATACTCCTATGACATTCATTTACTCCTAAACGAGACACCTTAGACTGTCACAATACAACCTTTCGTCATTTCAATAAAACTATAGAACAATTTTTTTTATACCTGAGAAGGTGGCAAACGAATTGGTGGTTCACCTGATGTTAAGTGATGAGTGTTGCTCGTTGACATTTGCAACACCCGTAGGGTTGCCACCTTTTGATAAAATTGGCCCCGGCCACCTCACTCACCAGACGAAACGCAGAATGTCGTCTTCTGTGAGGTCGTGATAAAAACCCGATGGGCCTACCCATTAGTGCATGGTTGCATGGTCCTACCACGGTAAACAATAAGTATATAACAGCCCACTGTTATGATAATCTTAGAAATAGAAACGACAACTGAGTTTTTACAAAGAACTTAGTGGTCAAACTAAGTAGAGTTTAATTACTGTTGCAAGTAACCGTCACGATCATTATTAATTCGGGTAGAGTTTCCGCACGCTACAACTGCTGACGAGAAAGTCCTCCCGAACACGGCGAGCGGTGTTCCTTTTACAGTTGCAATGTGCTACTACTAGAGATGTGTCTAAAATTAATAAGTTGCTAAATTGACGTTGCTAATTTTTTTTTAGTGTCAACACTTGTTAAATAAATCCCGAGATAGTTGTTAAATATATTAATAACAAGTCGCTACTCTTATGAACACAGATAAAAATAATGGCAGCGGAGCAGTGTACAGGTATTCCGCGCGGTGACACTATAGAATATACTAGAGGTATTTGTCTCCCTTTATCCCATTACTGCAGACTCTATTGAATTGTTTTCAACTTAGCAACTGCAAACTGTTAGTTAACCTTTCCGTTCAGTGTTCACTGTTCAGTCAGACAGATTGTTATTTATTCGAGTTGATTCAAATAACTGCTAACTGTTGAATTTGGATATGTTATGTTTAATTAGTGTGAAAAGTATGAAGGAAATGATAATTAATTATGAGTATGGGAGTTGCCTACATAACAATCTGTTTGTGATAAATTTAATAGTTGCTAAAAAAAAAAAGTAAAAAAGTAAAGTAACAGCCTATACATGTCCCACTGCTGGGCAAAGGCCTCCTCTATACAGAGGGTATCAGGGCATAGTCCACCACGCGGCCCTACTGCGGATTGGCGGACTTCACATATTTTCGAAATATATTTTTTTTTATAAGTCAGCACTTAAAGTTAAAAACTTCATTGGTGCCGGCACCGGGGATCGAACTCAGGTTGCTCAAGTATATTGAAATAAAGGCGAGCGCCCGGACACTGAGCTATCACGGCTCTCGTGCTAAAAATAACTGCTCATTTTAAGTTTTAATTATTATTAGCATTAGCATTTAGCAGTATTATTAATTTTTAACGTCTAAGCCCATCTCTAGCTACTACCCTCCTATCTTCCAACAATACTCACTTCCGTGCAACCGTTGCGGCTGGTGTATAGCGAGAATGTTCCCGTGGCGCAGGAGGAGGGTGCTGAACACCTCGGCCTCCCACCTTCAGGAGGCCTCATCCGTGGAGGAGAATATCTTCACCACCACGCTGTCGGCGCACGGTGAGCCACACCACTCCTATCGACCCTGGGGTAGACAGCAATACAATGAGGGACGGAGAGAATTACAAGGTTATTTTTTTTACAAATAACAACACTCCATACACTTTCTATTTCATTTTGAGGAGTTCCCGATGTATTTCACGATGACCAAAAATGCTCCTTCTTTTTTTTAAGTCGGTTGAAAAGATAAGTGTTTAGGTACGACTTGACGGCATTAGATCGTCTAGGTCACAGACGTAGTTGGGACACCCTTTTTATGTGAAAAGTTGCCAAACGAGCAGACGGTTCACCTGATGGTAAGTAAATACCGCGGCCCATGGACATCTGCTACACCCGAGGGTTACAGTTGCTTGACAACCTTTTGAAAATTGGGCTCCGGCTACCTCACTCACCAGACGAAACGCGAAAGTATTATACTTCCACTTTACGTTGGTCTTTTGTGAGGTTGTGGTACTTACCCGGACGGGCCTGCCCTTTCGTGCAACAGCCGAGGCTGCTGCGTGGCCCTACCACCATGACAACACAAATCAAGTATGATGCCATACCGCACATGTCTGATTATTCATTTATTAACAAAAGTGGAAAAAAAGTTAGATCTTCACCTGAAGGTAAGTAATATTGATTGGGTGGGGTGAAAAAATTACAGAGACAAAAACCTGCGGGTTTAAAATTGCATTGCCCTGTTTTCAGAAGGCGGGCAATTGATTACTTACACTCATGTCTGATGAGTGTAAGTAATCAAAAGCAACAGTTTAAAGTTCTTTTTCAGTGGAGCTGTGCTACTCCCACAGAGAAGCATGCCCATTCATGCAACAGCATAAGTTGTGTGTCCAACTGACTTTATGCAGATTCGATTGAGGAGCATTAAATAGATTCTTCACCAATACATGAACACGTATTGGAGATGTTTTCTATTAACATTTATAAGTTTGCAGACTCAATTATCACACTCGTTTTTGCAACAACTGGCTCTACGCAGCCATTGTTACCCATGTCAGGTTATTGAGAGATTCACAGCGATATTTTATTGTACAAGGCTTAATTACTCTCCGCCAATCATCCTCACCTTCATAGCATGCGCTAGTCATAGCATGTGGGCCGTATACGTTGCTAGAGAAGTAATTTGAACCTAGTCCAAATTTGCGGAGTACCACCCTGGATACCCGCAGCCTGAAATGAAATATATTTACTTTTACTGAAAATTCTATACAAAAGTATTGACAAACAGGAACTGAGTTTCCTTGGTCTCAAATGTGAAAGGTACATAATTGCACACACTGGTCAAGCCACTTGTCGCTTCTTGCTTTATGATAGTTGTTGTTTCCTTTTCAGTATTTAATCTATGTATATAGAATATCATCGTCAAGGAATGGTAGCTTACCAACATTATTAGCATACATGTCCAAAATCCACCAGGTTTTTACACCCTTCCTAACACTTTATAGTACAATTTCAGTGTAAATGGAACAGGTCGCCAGCTATAGTGATACACCTGTATTCAGCAAATTGGACTTTTTTATGTGAACAACTTCAAAAACAACTTTAAAGCAAGATACCCGACACTTAAGAGCTTGCAGAACTATACTTGAACCTTATAATCTATAACAAAAGTGAGCCCGGTTACTCTGTTTATCAGCGAAAGTATAAAATTTCCACTTCATGGTGCTTCCACGGACCACCACCACTTGCCTATTAGTGCAACCGCGATTTCCATGTCACATGACCACCCACCTGTGGCTCCTGCTAAGCACCAAGGCCGCCATCACTGCCACCGCTGCCACGGCCAGCTTCCGGCCCCACGCTCGCCCAGAACCGCTACGCGTGCGGCGGCACTAGCGCAGCCTACGGTTGTGTGGACCGGCACACACCTGTGCAGGTGGCAGGAGATAAAGAAAGGGGAATGGGCTAGAACCATTGGTGATGATACAGAGCCCGGTGCTGCATGGAATCCCATACACCCATTCAGGCGGCAGAAGCCTAAAGGGGGGGGGGGGGGGGGGGGGGTAAGTGTATGACAGTGAATGGCTCTCCCATATACCCATGCAGCTTCTCCTAAACCATTGGTAAGGGATAAAGGGGATGGGCTAAAATAGACCTGATGGTAATTCCATGAAAGACAATATTTGTGTGACCCACAGATAATTGTTTCGGATCTGGGTGTCTACATGTGAATACAGAATAATGTTATCCACCAGTAAGCGAGGATCTTCTAGGTGGCAGTGCTTGTTAGTACTGGTCATTATGACCCAACCCCTTTCACACAACATACAAAAACAGTACAACAGAAAGTAAAGCAGAGTTCTTGTAGGGAGTAGAGTAAGTTCATTATGTCAAATGCTTACAGAGGGCCCTCAAAAGAAGAAGGAAAGACAGGTCCCCACAAAGGTGACTAGTTGGTGCGGCAGGTAAAATGGGGATGGTCGCGCCTCGTGGAACAACCGCCGCGAATGTGTCAGTGCCACTTGGGGTCCAAATAAACTTTTTTTTTTTAAATATGACACAATAACATTAGGTAAGTCTCCTTATATCTTGTTCCTTATATCAAGTCACAAGTTCTGTATAAGCAGATAAGTTCAAAACAAGTAACATACTCAATATTGCTATGTCAAATATTTAGTAGATTGATGTTTTCCATATTCCCTTATGTGCAAAAAGCAGTGATAGTTATGTGGTACACAGAAAAAGCCAAATTTAACTGAACTTATTCAATTTCTTCTTTAGATATGTTAAACCTCTATATTTGAAAAAGAGGAATAAAAACATAAATAGGATTTTTGATACCTTTTTTGAAATTTCCTCCTCCCAAGTGATGCAAGAAGTAAAAAAAGTACACTTACAATCACAAACTGCATACTTTCATCCATATTATATAATAGATAACTTTAGACAACTTTTACTTACAACTTACTGACAGTTACAGAACAGTTTTTAACATAATTATTAATAAATTTTAATATACCATCATACCATCTTTTCTTTAAAAATAAAATGCCTGATTATTTATGACCGTAATTGTTATTGCACTAAATAATAATAAATAATGAGTATAAAATATAAAAAACAATTTAACTTTATTAATTATAACACTAAGTTTGTGAATATTTCTAAGCCCTTGGCATATTTGTATATCAATACAATATACCTTACCTTGAATGCTGTACGATCATCTTTTCAATGGAGTATGGGTCATCCATAAGACAAATGTTAGACTGGGTGTTTGGGGAGGTATCAGGGTCAGAATTGTCAAAACCTGGCACATCCACTGTAAACGAAAAAAAAAAAAAAAACATACAAATACTTATATGTACAAACCCTATACATGTAGTTTTTACATCTATTGCTTTAAAACATAAGTCTTGATTTAATTAAATTAGGCTATTACATAACTACAATTATTATGTGACCTTATCTTTCAGGTAACAAAATTATGGATATTGGTAATTGACCTCTTTTTCAACATTGAACCTTATACCTTGTTTTTTTAATACACTTGCTAAGGCAGTGGATATTCACAGGTAGGTATATGCAAAAATTTTGATAACTCAATATACATGTATGACATGTTTACCTTTATGGTATTATAGTTGATCTCATCAGTCTCCCACAATATGAAAATTAATTTGTAAATCCACCTTTTGAAATGCTATTGTGATACATACTGTGGTGAGAAAATAAAGAGTTGATAACAGCTATTATCCTCGACTATGTATGTCTGGGTAGAATAGGCTGAATGCGTGACAAAAGACGAAAGACAGATATACATTAAAATATGTATAAAAATTATATTCTATGTCCTATTCTGATGTATATAATATAGCTATTATTGTAAAGTTTCATTAGAATCCATTCACTAGTATTTGCATGAAAGAGTAACAAACATCCATCCATACATATAAACTTTCGCCTCATATTAGTAAGGATTGTTTGATTAGTTCATTATTGATAGCATCATTGATTAGCTACAATAGCATATATACCTGTGGATGTAAATGATAATGTGTCATTTGTTGGCATTTTAATGAGGAACCTTTTGTTGAAGTGTAGTGGGGATACAAGACTTGGTGGCTTAAATTTAGTAAATACCATCTAAGGTTCAAAGCCAGGTAGAAATCACAAGCTTAGGGTTTTTGAACTATTTTACTGTAAGTATCGATTTTGGTGAGTTTTTTTTTTGAAATTGGAAAAGGATGTTTTACAAACATATATTTCATGTGGACCAACCCCGGCACCAAAGCCAATGTTGTGAGCCGTGTGCGAAAACATGTATGTTGATGAGGCAAATTATTGAGATTTTAACTTGATATGTTAAGTACCTTCATTCTAACGCCTATGGATGATACATATATACTGAAACTATATACTAGCCTATAATTTGTAGATATGACTTTGATTTATTTGTGATATAAACAGTAACATGATTTCCTGCGACAAATAAGCATTATATAGTGATACTATTTTGTCAAACCATCGAGTATAAGTTTCATTAATAAGATGAATCATTGCTTTTCTTCACCTTAATTAAATTATTTATTATAAGCATTGTAGTTTTACAACTCCTTTATTCTAAAATATCAAAATACGAGAAAGTAATGTATACTTTTTGATGTTGAGAGCAGAGTTTAATATTTGCCCGAATCTCGTGGTGAATACTCCTAATATATGAGAAGAAAATTGAAGATTCCAAATAAACTTGCTTATTACGCACAAAGCCTTAAGAGTATTAAAAATAATTCACTATTTTAAGCAATTCAATTATTTATTTCGGATTGTTTGGAGGTCCCCAATGTTTTGGTCTAATTCGGTGAACACTTATTAATTTATAGGAGTGAGGCATATGAATTTATGGGATTGATGAAATTCATCAATTGTAACATGTACCTATTGAGATAACAGATTGTACCTTTTATGAACAAACTTAAATAACAGTTTGTGTTCCACACAGTGTCCTTGTTATTATATTCATGCCTGTTACCTTGGAAAGAGGTAAAAACTGTCACTGAACATTTTGTTACTGTAACAAACTACTAGCTTTGTCGAAAGAGAGAAGCTATATGACCATTTCTTTTACCTGTTACTTGGTACGGACATAGGACCAAAGTATAACCATAAACCATAAACAACTAATGAAAACAGCTATTACAGTACACCGAAACCAACAGGACGAATTAGAATAAGTCATTCATTCTGAAAGTACATGAGCTTCTGTACAGACATCTCTTAGTTTTATTTTTAGTTTTTAAAAAGCTCTTCACGGCTCCCTATAACTTGACTGGCGCAGCCGGTAGGATCGTCGGTTGCTTGTGCCGTCCGCGAATATATACGAAAAATCGTTTACCGCGTTCGCGCAGCGAGGCGATCCTGCGAACCAATACAAATTCGTCAAGTGAAGAGCAACGGAAGATGCTGAAGGCCGGCTGGTGAGTCCAAATCTTCACCTTCCTATCCTCATCCTATTTTACAGTTTTGTTATTTTGCAATTAGACCTCTTGCGATATAACGTTATCTGGTTTTACATAAAAATCTGTAGAACTTATAGTTAAGAAATTAATTTGTCATAAACTTTATAAGTACGTTAAATGTTCCAAGAAGTAGAGTCGGAATAACTCGGTAGATAAGGCGTCCGTGCATAGCGGAGCGATAAGCTTTGGTCGAGCCTGTTATCACTCACAGGTGTTGACGAATATCTTAATTCATTTTGTTTAACGAATACTTGTCATTAAGAACTCTTTATATTAATTAAATAATTGTGTAACTTTACTTTTAATATTTTGTTAGCATTTATTTTAATTGTGTTTTTACAGTTTACTTGTATTTTTGTGTTACGTTTATCACTTTCTCTTTTATAACGTCATTTTATAAATATTAACAATGGAAAACCGCGTTCAGATTCAAATGATTCCTAGTGAAATGCTCAAAATTATACCAGTTTTTGACGGTGATAAGCACCAACTAAATTTATTTATCCGTAAATGTGAGTACATATTGTCAAAATACAGAGGAAGCGATGAACAAAATCTATATGTTATGTACGCAATAACGAGTAGGCTAACTGGTAATGCGGCAGCGCTCTTTAGCGAGCGTGAAGACATTAATTCATGGGATGAATTTAAAGAGTTATTAGTACAACATTTCGGAGATCCCAGAAGTGAGGAATGTGTAGCGATAGAATTAGAAGGGTTGCGTATTAGAAACAACGAGTCATACTTAGAATTTTGTAATAGAATACAGTCAGTCCGTAGTGTATTAATATCAAAAGTTAACAGAATAACTGACCCAAATATTAAGTCTAGTAAAATCACAATATATAATAACACCTCTTTAAATGTCTTTTTATACAATTTGCCGGAAAACATGGTGCGTATTGTTCGTTTGAAAGCCCCCAGTACCTTAGAAGCAGCCTTAAGTGTGGTCATGGAGGAGGTTAATTTCCATGAGCAGTATACATTGCGCAACAAAATGTATGGGAATTGTAGTATTAAACAACCCATAATAAATTCACAAAATAATAATCCAACATTTAAATTCGGTACGAATAACTTTAACCCACACATACCGATAGGTTTTAAACCCGCATTAATGCCTAGCAAATTTAATTTCGGAGTTCCGCAAGGGTTACAGCCAAAATTACCTCAATTTAATAATTTACAAAATTTTGGTTACCACCCCCCACAATATATGCGCCCGCAGCAATTCGGTATGCGCCCACAACAATTTAGTATGCGTCCTCAACAATTTGGTATGCAACAGCAAGTATTTAATAGACCTCAGCAATTTGGAATGCGCCCACAAAATTTTGGAAACCAACAGCATAATTTTTATAAGCCCCCGCAATTTGGTTACAAGCCCCAATTAAATAAAAATCAGGATACTATGCCCAGTGACGTCACTATGCGCACAGCACCCCCAGTTAGGACGAATCAACAAGGTTTACAATTGAACGAACTGGAACTCGAACCTGCAGACTACGAAAACGCGTATCCGATAGCCTATGACGATTTTTATTATGAGGAATATCAAAATAATTTCAACAGCCCAGATTTCACTTATTATGAAAATGAAAATTCTTTCACCAACCCCGAAATACCATATGACGCGAAAACTAACGTAGAAAACGAGGATTTTCGGGTAGAGGCCTCGGAAGAGTCCGCGAAAAAAATAGAATTAAATTGCGAAATTAATTTAAAGTTACCATATATTTATATTCCCGAAATCGACTCAAAATTTATGATAGATACCGGTAGCACACGATCATTCATTAGTCCATCAAAAGCTTATGATTACTTTCCAGATTACATAGTTCATGAACCATTTGAAGTTATTAGCACACACGCGTCCAGTAGACATAATCAAGTTATTAAAATTCCGTCTTTGCCAGTTTTCAATTGT